CACCCACCTGGCCCCCCTCCACCTTCAACTTCCACCCTCTCACCCCACAAAATCAACCTGGGTTGCCATGGATCGTGGTCAAATGCAGGCAACAGGTACTGGGGCTGCATAGATCTGGCTGCATCCCAGAGCAGCCAGTTTCTATGCTGGGGGGAGCAGGGGCAGGGGTGGGCATTGGAGGGGGGAGGAGTGCTGCAGTGTGATACTCCTGCAGGGGAGACCAGATACTAGTTATAGAAAGCTTGGTGTCCACACATGACACTGAAGCAGTTTGCAAAGACCTGGTTCAAAATAATAGGTAACTATCCAGCTATACTTCCAGGAGGTTCATACCATTCTGAACTGACAGATGCTTGCAGCTCAAACCACATTGAAAATAGTAGAAGTGTTATGTGAGTCCACACCCTAACTGTTACCCCTGCCTGCTAAATTACTGTAAATTTAACCCTGCATAAAATAGATTTGCACTTGTATCACACAGGAGTAAGGGAGAGGTAAGTTACATCCTCTGGTTGCTTATCAACCGTGTCTTTTCATAACAGCGTTATGGTTGGTCCAATGAGTCAGCATTTCCACTGACATAAAAGAGGCCACTTTCTGGGATCTAGCGAAGAGTTCTTCTTTTCCTAGGCCTAGGAAAGAGATTGGAAGTCAACAGAGTATCTGTTCATTTCCAGTTTTCTTTGCCAGGCTCTTGAGGGCTATATGAGTTCACAGATTTCTGTCCTGATTTCATCTCACCCCTTGGGATGCTTCTAAAGATCATCTACTTCTGACAGAGGGCCCCTCAGCTCAGCACTGAGTCTATTTGATACCTTTGCCTTTTTGACCCTTCATGACTGTCTTTCATATTAGTAGGCACAAGTCCAATGGCACATGAAACACTGGTGTTTTCTGTTCTTGTAAACACTCTGGAAGTGGAGTCATTCTGGTCTCTGCTTATCTTGTCATTTTGAACAGTGCTCTGCCCAGGTGTGCTGAGCCTTCTGTTCCCAGCTAACCATATGGAGGTCGACTCAGGTGTCTGGAATCATGATCCTTCAATTTAAATCATCCTTTCCATTAGAAATTCACCTCTTCCAATTAACCTTAAATATACACTTTGGGGTGTTTGTTTTCTAAGTATGTGTTGAGCAAATATATGTTAACAACCCAATCTATATAACTGAATATTTCCTAGAATTTTTCTGTTACTCCATTTTATGATTTGCTGTGTATCTAGTTATATTGCAGAGTATAGACTTGCTAATTTTAGCAACATGACTCTGTAACTTAGTTTCAAACCTCATGAAATTAAAACACCTGGAAGGAGAAGATACTTTCCCTCCTGCTCTGTCGTTTTCTAAACGTCATTCATTTCATTTATTTATTTCAAGAATAATTTCACTTTTAAGATGCTTACAAGAGAAAACATACATTCCATCAGTCACACAGATTAATTAGCCCCATTTTCCTAGCCTGTAGGAAAAAGCCTTCTGTAATTTAATATAAAATAATACTTTCTTTCTACGTGTTAGACCCTTTTGATTGAATGTAAAGATCATTTCTTTCTGTTCTGCAAACTTTCAAAGCATGGTTTGCAAAATATAGAAACAAATACCTTTCAACTGAGTATTAGTTGTAAAACTATTCATTTAATAGAGTTCATAGATTTCATAGACATTAGGGCTGGAAGAGACCTCACGAGATCATCGGGTCCAGCCCCCTGCCCAAACGGCAGGAAGTCACCTGAGGTCAGATGTCCCCAGCAAGATAATCATCCAAATGTTTCTTGAATGTGTCCAGAGTAGGTGCTTGCACCACTTTTGTGTGGAGTCTATTCCAGTCTCTGGAGACTCAGATGTTGAAGTTTTTTCTTATGTCCAGTCTAAAATGGTCATCCAGCAGTTTGTGACCATTTGACTTTGTCTTCCGTTGGGGTGCCCTGGTGAACAGATGTTCTCCCAGTTCCTGATACATACCCCTTATGTACTTATAGGCTGCCATCAAATCCCCCGAACCTACACTTCTCCAAGCTGAAGAGTCCCATGCCTCTCAGCCTCTCAGCCTCTCCTCATAAGGCCTGCTCTCTTGACCTCTGATCATGTGCATGGCTCTCCTCTGGACTCTCTGAAACTTCTCCACATCCTTTTTAAACTGTGGAGCCCAGAATTGGTTGCAGTACTCCAGCTACAGCCTCACTAAGGCCAAGTAAAGTAGGAGGATGACATCTTGGATCTTGCTTGAGATACATCAGTAGATGTAAGCTAGGATTGTATTTGCTTTGCAGGCTGCAGCATTGGTGGCTCATATTCATCTTGTAGTCAGTCATGACCCCCATGTCTCTTTCAGTCATGGTGCTAGTGAGTGTAGTACTGCTGAGCCTACAGGTATGATGTGGGTTCTTTCTCCTGAGGTGGATCACCTTGCATTTCTCTATGTTGAATGTCATCAGGTTTTGATCCGCCTACCTTGCAAACCTGTCCAGGTCAGCCTGAATCCCCAGCCTATCCTCTTGAGTGACTATGCTTCCCCAAAATTTAGTGTCACCTGCAAGCTTGGTCAGTCTGTTTCTGACACCCGAATCCAGTTCATTTATGAATATATTAAAGAGTACTGATCTGAGAACTGAACCCTGGAAGACGCCACTGGTCCCCATGCACCATGTTGACTCAGTTCCATCAACCAGCACTCTCTAGGTCTAACCACGGAGCCGGTTCCCCAGCCATCACGCTGTAAGGTTATTGAGGCCGCAACTCCCCAATATTACCATAAGGACATCATGGGAGACCAAGACAAAGACTTTTTTGAAATCCAAGTAAATTATATCAGCCTTTCCTCCTCTGTCCAGGTGACACATCAACTGGTCATAGAAGGAAATAAGGTTGGTCAGGCATGACCTACCCTTAACAAAGTCGTGTTGGCTATCTCTCAGAATGATGTTTTCTGTTAGTCTGTTGTTGATGGATTCTTTAATATTTTTTTCCAAGATCTTTCCAGGAATTGAGGTCAAACTGATTGGCCTGTAGTTCCCTGGGTCTTCCTTCCTTCCCTTCTTGAAGATAGGCACCATGTTGACCCTCTTCTAATCTTCTGGAACCTCTCCCAAACACCACAAGTTCTTAAATATCTTTGCCATTGGCTATGCTGTGATGTCAGCCCACCCTTTTAGCACTCCTGGGTGCATTCTGTCTGGACCCACTGACTTGTGGATGTCCAGCCTCTCAAGGTGCTCCCTCATAAGGTCTTCACCAGTTGTAGGTGTATGGTCACCCTTACTCTGGTAATCCTGTGTCCTGTCAGGCAGGGTGATCCCATTGGGATGTTGGAAAACCGATGCAAAGTAATCATTGAGGAAATTAGCTTTTTCCAGGGTGTTGGTTTTCAGCTGTCCCATTTGGCTCAGCAGGAGTCCAATGTTGCCTTTATGTTTCTTTTGACTTCCCACATATCTGAAGAAGGACTTTTTATTGTCCTAGGTTCCTGTAGCCAGCTTGAACTCACTTTCAGCCTTGGCTTTTCTGGTCCACTTGCAACAGGTGCAGGCCAGTGATATATAATCCTCCTTAGAAGTATTTTCTGTCTTTCAACCCTTATAAGCTTCTGTTTTAAGGTTAAGGAGGTCCATGAGTTCCCTATTGAGCCAAGGGAACTTTTACTACCTTTCCTGTGAAGTGGAATGGACTTCCCTTGTGCTTTTAGGATTGCATACTTAAGGAGCAGCCACTCATCATGGACTTGCCTACCTGTCAGATTGTGATATCTGACAAACCACCTGAGCTTGTGAAAGTCAGCTTTCCTAAAGTCGAGGATTTCTACATTGCTGACTGATTTGCCAGCTTTGTGATGGATAGAGAAAGTGATCAACTCATTAAGTGATCATTAAGTATCTCAGGCAGATATCTGATGTTAAGTTGATTATCTCCCTTTTTGGTTTAGTCCTTTTAAACCATGAATAATCTTTCTGTGAGTTGTTGAATTTTTAATAGAATGTAATGGTCACTTGTTTCCTTGCCACAAAATTCTGGAGGATGGTTTTAAAAGTATGGAAACGAATTAATTCTCAATTTTAGAGAAATGTCTAAAACATTGTATTAAATATCTCTGGAGCAATTATTTCCACATCTGTTAAACTCTACAGGATGTTTTTGTGAGGGAAGCACATAGGACTTGGACTGTGGACTATAACAGAGAGACACTCCATTTACATTGGGCAGGACTCAAGCCACTATTTTAAACATGGTGGGTTCCAACTAGACTGGTTCCTAATATGGATGGATTGATTGGTGTAATGCGGCCAAATCATGTTGTCAACACTTGTGTTTTAGTGCAAGAAAAGCTTCTGGCTCAGCATAGCACAAGGAGTACTTTTTATGTCATTTGTATTTTCAGTGGTTAGGAAAGTGGGATTAAAATTTGACCCTGCCCATGTTAGAAACTTGCTCATCTGAAACTGCCCTTAAAACTGGTTTGGCCATGATTCTCCTGAGTATCCTGAGTTTGATTCATGAAAGCACTGAAGAGACTTAACATTGAGCCTATGAATTTTCATCAGTTCCTGTGGAACTACTCACGCTTAAAAATAAGACCCAGCATAAATGCTCTGTACAATCAAAGCCAGAGTGGCCAATATTTTACATGATTAAACCTTGAAGCACTCAAGAGTCTGGGCCTCAATTCAGAAAGATGGTAAACAACATAACAATGTGTATAAGTAGTCCCCCAGAGTTCAGTGAGGAAAACTAATGTGTTTAAAAATAGCATATGCTTAAGCATCTTCCTGAGTAAGGGCCACAGTATGAAGTCATGCTTTCCATTATGTAATGCTGTACCAGGAAAGTCTGCGAATACATATGTTTGTTTATTCATCCCCCCATGGCAGAATTAAAACTATTCTGTGGTTATGCACTTCAACCTTAGGCATTGGTTTCTGTCTTTTTTTATACTGAAGACCACATGTTATTATCTAGATCAGATAAGCAAGTAAACTCTTTACATGTTTTCAAATGTTTCTCTCATAGACCTGAAAGAAAATCTGAACAGCCAATGTGTGAAGAGCATGAAGATGAGAAAATTAATATCTATTGTTTAAACTGTGAAATGCCTACATGCTCTCTGTGCAAAGTTTTTGGTGCTCATAAAGACTGTCAAGTAGCTCCTCTCACAAACGTTTACCAACGACAAAAGGTAAATACGTCTTCGTTTCTAATCAGGTCTTAAAGGCACACCATCAAAATGAAATCTAGCCAATTTTAGTGAAATAAGTTAAAAATACTTCTTCCCATGCGTTTCCTATCCATACAATCATTTCTCTATTTTTTTCCTCCACAATGTGTTTCTTTTCTCCCTTGTGTGTGAATGATCCACACACATATCAGGGGAAAGTGACTGTACAAAAGAACAACACCATAACATTTTTAAAAGACATTCAGAAAAAACAGTATTTCTCCTCTGTCCACTTTCAGTTAAAACAACTTCACTATTGATTGTGACAATAATCAGTAAATATTTCAGACAAAAGTATGACTTTTTTTAAAGTTGATCTCAGTTTCTTAGACTCTGTTGTACAGGTCTTTCAGACTGTGAGCACAAGTAGAATTTCCAGCAGAAGCGAAAGAGAGATCAGCCCACAAAAACCATACCCTTTTCTATTTTTATATATATATAAATCTTTGTTAAACAGAAGCTTTAAGTGACAAACCTTCTGCTGAAGAATATAGCTATGTAATAGCTGGCAGACATTATGTTCCTAGCATCCTCTGTCCTAGGTGTCACTAGTGAAAGACTGCTATTTATTTTTTAATATGGTATTAATTTAAAAGCTGACTCATTGGGTTATCCTCATGAGATAAACAGCTCATTTTCTGGAAGGCCGAGTAGGGCAAGCAATCAGACAAGGCCAAGTTTACAATCCCAGCCTCCAATTCTGTCACATAGTTATACCAGTGTGTGCAAAGTACAGATGAGAAATTACTTTGGATGAGTATTTGCAAACATGTTTTTGAACTGAAAATTTAATAAAAGGAGAAATCTCTTATTACCCACTCCCATTACTCTTACTAAGAGCAGTCTGGCACGCAGTTTGTTTCATACAGGAATGTTTGAGGAAAGGAAAAGGGGTCTGAATAGTCATGTGAGCCACATCATGAAGTCATATGAATCATAGTTTCATAGTTGTTAGGGTTGGAAGGGACCTCA